GCCAAAACGAAAGTTCCTTTCTCGAGATATTAAATTGTCAAAAAATAGTCAGTTTTCACAGACAGGTCACAAAAACCGAGTTTACTTGACCATTCAATATCTCGAGAAAGGAACATTCGTTTTAGCTGAAACTTTCAAGCAATTCTAATGACTATTAGACCTATCTATGAGCAAATTTTCAGATCGAAATTCTTTAATTCGACTTTTTTTGGAAATCCCTTGTCGCATGCCCAAAATTCAGTAAAACGGTCATAACTCTTCACCGATAGGTCATCGGCACGAATATTTTTAGGGTTTTCTTAGTCTCATAGAGACCTACCTTGTAGCCATAATATGGAGTCGAACGGCATCCGTCCGTTGGGCACCTTCCCTCGTCAGTAGAATATAAGAGATTATCGAATTTACTTTTAGATTATATCGAATGTGTTTTGGAAAATTGATTGAGATATTATTGTAAATTAATTTGTATTGAAAAAATTATTTTAAAACTTAATAAATTAATTTATGTAAAATTTGAATTAAAACATTTTTTAGAAAAATTTATTGCTAACTATGGAAAGTTTAGTTTGCACCGCTTATAGTTTCTGAGTCTATAGAAATTTTCATAAAGTGAAACAATTTCTCTGTATAAAGTACAATCTATTTGAAAAGCTATTATGACAATTTCTATATAGTTGAAATGTAAAAGACGATGGAGTTACTGATGTTATAAAAGAAAGAATTTAAGAACGTAGATTTTTATTTATGAATTCTTATCTGCTATTCATGCATGTCGATGATGAAAAATTTTAATCAACATTGATTTCAGCCAGTGTGAAAGAACGGCAAAGGACAGCTATCTTAAATATTAAGGTATCTATCATAGTGGACAGTCGTTGTTAGGCGTTGCTAAGGTGTCTACCACATCTATGGACTGGGGAGAGGGAGGTTGAAATGTCTACCCCTATAGTTTAATACTCGTTTTAGATTCATATTTCACAAAATCTCACTTCAAAACTATATGATTCATTATTATGAATTTCTATTTACTGATATTTTATGCTAGATTAAGAATAAAATCTTAGAGTATTTATATAAACATCATTTCTAGTGATAGAAAATCATTGGTTAGCACTATAAATGATGAATTAGACTTCTATTTGAATACTCAAAACTATTAATTTATTATTGAGTATTCTATATTTCATCTAAAAAAAAAAGATGTCACTCGTATTGCTATGTGGATAGTGTTTGATTGGTGTTTAATAATGCATTACCAGTTAATATTTATAGCACAACCTTGACTCATTTTTGAATATTTTTTTTTCTTGCACAATCGATTCTATCTGATGGTCAGTTAGGTCTTTTATAATTATAAATTTATTTGGATCTTTGATTTTTATATGTATATATATATAGGCTGACGTAGCACCTACTCAAAGAACACAAGGATGTGATGGAATTGACGATGGTGCAGTAAGTGAAGAAGATAGCATTCAAGAATCAAAAATATGGGGTCGACTTTTATCAATAAATAAACATTTTCCATCAGTAAATTTAATTGATAATGAATACTCATTAGGTCGTGGTAAAAAATGTTCAATAGTACTTGATTCAAAAGAACTTCAAGCATCAAAATATTATCTAACATATTCATCTATACATTTTAAAATTATTCGTGATACAGTTAAAAATTATGTTTATATTCAAGATTTATCATCTAACGGTACATATATAAATGGTGAAAAAATTGGTAAAAATAAACGGCATGTTCTTGATAATAATGCTGAAATAGCTTTAGCATCAAAAGCACATCGTGTTTATGTTTATGTTGATACAAATGCAACAGAAGATTCAACTGTTCCATCGAATGTACGTGAAAAATATATTGTATCAAAAGAAATTGGACGTGGTGCTTATGGTGAAGTTAAATTATGTTTCATTCGAGGTAAAAAAAAAAAAACTAGAATATATTCAAAACTTATTAAAGCTCTACCATGAAAAAAAATCAATTTTCATTAGAAAAGTCCATATCGAGTTTGGATCTTTCATAAACAATATGAGTTAACAACTCATTTTCTTCGAAAAAATAGTTTTTTGTTTTTTGCACTTGGTGAACCGGAAAAAATTAATTTTGAGATTCTTGCACAGCAAGATGAAGATATTTTATTGCATGTAAAAAAATGAGACATGTATAAGTATAACAACAACGAATAATAGTTTATGAGTGTGGTTGAAGAGAAAATTCTATCATCTATAGCCAGGAATTTTCCAACAGGAGTACCTGACTTATTATGAGAAGTGCACATCAACAAAAAATTAATTTTTTTGTTTTTTTGGAAAGTTATTTTATTCGTACTCCTCCCAAATGTTTTCTTTATCAAGAAGTGCACTCTCTGGTTATCCCTTGTGCCACATCCACACTCTTAATATTTTTAAGGGTATTTATATCTTATATAATCAACATTTTTTTTTCGGTCGATACATTTCTAATACCGCATCTCACAATTCTCGAAAGGATATGTGAGTCTGTAACAACCATTTTTCGACGTATTGAGCTTGTCATCCTTTTTCTTCGTATAAAATTTAAGAATTTAATAAATGCGAAAACCTCGGATTTAAATCCGAGTGTTATGTGTACTTCAAAAAGTGAAAAGGTATATTCACTGTGTTTTTTATCACTAAATTGCAAGAAGAAAATACAGACGTGCTAAGTT